GTGAATATAGTACCGAGCATTTCTCTGAGTAAGTGCTGGATTAAATATGCAGCTGGCAAATCTAAGACTTGTTTTCAAAATCAAACGCAAGGAGTCATATTGGAATATGCAGCACCAGTTTGGAACCCACACCGGGTCAAGCATATCAAGAAACTGAAAAAAAGTGCACAGGTTTGCAACGAGACTAGTCCCGGAGGTAAGGGGTATATCCTATGAGAAGAGATTAAGGGAGTTAAATCTAATGGCATTAGAGGAAAGGACTTGAGGTGATATGACAATAAAGTACAAAATACTGAGAGGACAAGGACACAGCTGTAACTTGAAAGCACAGATGAGTCACAAGGATGTTAGAAAGCATTTCTTCTGTCTAAGAACAAACTATATGTGGAGGTACTGGACACTGGAATGGTTGAGGCAGGTTCCATACAAAAATAAATGTGAAGGCTTAGTAAGGTGATTGAAATAAAGAGTGTTACGGAAGAAACAATCACGAACAGATAGAGTCGTTTACGGAAGCTAGAATCACAAATAAGCAAAATTATGCATTAAGGCTACAATCGCAAACATGAAGACACCTCTTGTGCTTCAGCTATAATCACGAAAGGGGAGAGTCGTGTACAAAATCTTAAATCAAACGAAAACTATACTCACGAAAAAGAAAATTTTTAACACAAAAAATTCAATTTCGACCATCATTGCGCAAGAAGGAGAATCCGTGGGTGCGTACGCTGCAATTACAAGCAAGAGGAGTCGTACACGTAAGATACAGTCACTAACAACAAAGCATTCTTGTGTACAAGAGCTACAAATCATGAGCAACAAGAGTAGCACTGTGTACGGCAGCAACCAGTCACGCACAACACGAAGTCCTGTGTACGAAGCTACAAATCACAAAGTGATACACGACATACAACAATCGAACAATTGTCTGCATACAAATCATGTATTTCCTCTCCGGAAACTCTGGGATCGTAGCGAGCCTGACACTATCATAATTTACCCATTACTGTTTTGTTTAGTAAAGCACGCCCCTTCAAGGGGATACGGATAAAAGAGACTTGAATATAATATAATGAGATGCATTACTGAGAACTTTTCGCCCTTACAATGGGCTCTCTTTTTTCCCATCATTTTGGTATTCTATACAATTTCTCTCCATCAAGGAGATGTCTTGATGATAGTGAAAGGTCTGTTGATCCCTGAAATTAAAGCCATTTTGATCCACCTTTTTTTGAATCAAACCTGATTGGCTCTCAATCCCCAGGAGCTATGTGACTCCCCTACGGGCTTTGCGCTTCCCCGTTAATATGAGAATATTTATAATCTTACACAAAACACTCCATGAATTTAAAGTGATATCATTGAAGATAATGTTTTCCAATGGCCAAAAGAGTTGTTTTGTTAAGGTTTAACATTATAAACAGGAGTAGATTTTACAAAACGAAGTCTTACTCGTAACTCACCGTTGTACAACTGTGAGCGGTGTTTGCATCAGGCAGATGTGATTCTCTCTCGGTCTAGTGGGCAATTTTGGGCTTGGCTGCTGTTAATTTGTCCCCCATCTTTCTAAAGCAGGAACGCTGTGTCCAAAAGTAAATGTTTGATAATTTCATATTCTCTTCTTTTCAGTGTATTATCACTGACCAGTCTCAGTGGAAACAGAAATTTAATGTTGACCTTTATTTTCTCCCTGTTATAAATATATTTCTTTTCAGGGTTTGAAAAAGATTATATATTTTTTGGTTGATTGACAAGGGGTAACTAATACTTTTTGTTCAATTCCTCTGCTAGAATTTGCACCACTCCCTCCATGTGTAATTCTTGTGAGTAATTCTTGTACATTAGTATTTCTAAAGAACTTTCGTTACTCTTTGTGACTAGAATAACAGAGGCAAAGAAAAAGTGGGACAATCTATGTCTTTCAAGTGGTCACCAAGTACTGTGTAAGAAAATATATATTCACACCTTAGTATTAACTCACTATTACTCGGTTTTCATGTTTTGCGTAAGCTGACTCGTGCTTAAATAGCTGCTGTGATATCGACTTAAGTTGCTCGTTAAGAGAGCACTAGTTCATTATATCATTTCAATAGCACTAAGGTTCACACACACCACTTGTTTCAAGACAACACGCATCAAAATTGATTTTCTCTTTTGTATTTGTTTATTTGTTTGGTAATTTTTTTGGTCACGCTACGCCACCTGAACGACCAACGGGATGCGTGCGATATCTCTTCTCTGAGCTCTTTCATCTCATCGCAATATCGTTCGAGTTGACGTTCAAGAAATGTTGAGTGTACGTGTTTATCTAGTTGACGCACTGCCAAGATGTGGCGTATCAGAGTAGAAGAGAGAGAAAGGTGTGTGGCGCTCCCTTTGGGGGTAAAAATATTTGGTGGAGAGGCAGACGCAGAGGCAGACAGCCAAAGAGGCAGACAGCCAGAGAGGCAGACAGCCAAGGAGGCAGGCAGACAGGCGGAGAGGTCCGCAGCACGGAACACTTCGCCCGACACTAACTCCCGGAGCTGGCTCCTACCTCGGCATTCCCATACTCACCTGCGCGCTGCCCACCACACAAGCACGCTAAATTATCCCACTCTCACTCTCTTGGTTTTTTTTTCTGCCCCCTTTCCCCCAATCGTTTTTTTCTCGATATTTTTTTTTCTTGTATGTACAGACGAGCCGTCCATTTGTTGACAGTGGCCTACGAGAGTGGTCCTCATATCTCACTTCAACGGGCTTCCATTTACATCACTTCAGGAGCTCGGAGCCTGGAGGTGGCCCCTTAATCCTTCCCAATCCGTTCGTATCGGATAAAAAAAATAGTCTCTTCATTTTATTTTTATGACTTGCACAACGCTGGTTCACCGGCGCTATATTTATATAGTTTTCAAACCAATCATCGTTGGTTTTAGAGATGCATAACAAATGTCTTTTTTTATTCTGGAAAAAAAACTTGGTTTATCTTAAATTTAGAGTATGGATTTACTTTGTATAGGTTTTAACAAGGTCGAATTGAACGTTAACATGCTATAAACATGAGATAGGAACGCGCACGCACGCACGCATGCACGTACGTATCTACACACACACACAAACACACACAAACACACACACACAGACACACAGACACACACACAGGCACACAGACACACACACATACAGACACACACACATAAACAGACACACACACAGGCACACAGACACACACACACAGACACACAGACACACACACACGGGGATTGTTCTACGAAGAAAGGTTGAGCGGAAATCGGCCTGACGACACTGGAGGACAGGAGGGTCAGGGGAGACATGATAACGACATATAAAATACTGCGCGGAATAGACAAGGTGGACAAAGACGGGATGTTCCAGAGATGGGACACAGACAGAAGAGGTCACAATTGGAAGTTGAAGACTCAGATGAATCAAAGGGATGTTAGGAAGTATTTCTTCAGTCATAAATAGTAGATGGTAGCCGAAGTGAACAACATACATAGTTTTAAGGCGAGGTATGATAGAGCTCATGGGGCAGGGAGAGAGAGGACCTAGTAGTAATCAGCGAAGAGGCGGGGCCAGGAGCTGTGAATCGACCCCTGCAACCACAAATAGGTGAGTACATAAATAGACACACACACACACACACACACACACACACACACACACACACACACACACACACACACACACACACAAACACACACACACACACAAACAAACACACACACACACACACACACACAAACAAACACACACACACACACACTGCCTGAGCCACATAAGCGTGGGGAGAGCCACAATTTTGTAAGTGATCTAGAAAATAAAAACGTGGTGGCGCAGAATGAGCAGGTTAGTGTGGGTGGTAAGGCGACGTTGTCAAGTGTCACCCAAGAAAGATAATAAAGTTAAACAATCGTGTGACCAGTGAGAGAAATACAGTGAATAGGGTACATTATTAACGAGAAGAAATTGAGGTGGATCTACGCCAGGACGTCACATCGAGCTGGACAATCTTCAGGCTGTTACAGCTGCACTGCAAGTACTGTATCCACCTATGAGTGGTTGTTTGGGTGTGGGGTTCCAGGTTCCAATTAACCGCCAAGCTGAATGTGAATGGTCTAACTCTCATAGCACGATAAAGAATAGGCACTCAAGTATTCAATAAGGAATAGCAATTGGTAATCCATTGAACAAGGCGAGTAACTTACTGTAAGCTAGGTGGCAGGTCAAGCATTGGCAACATTGTAAGTAGGTGAGCGTGGTCAGTGGTCAGTCGTCACGTGAGGTCACAGACCCTGAGCTGCTTTGGGGATTAGTGTGGACGGTTACAAAGCATGGCTTGCTTCTGCAGTGTTTTAAAAATTGAGGTTGGAGAGTTGAAGGAGGAGGTCTTGCTTCTCCAGGAGGAGATTAGGAGGCTGAAGGTCCACCTCAATGGGTCTGGGAGAGAGTGTGAGGTGGCTGGAGTTGTGGGAAATGAGGCTTTAAGCAGTGAGGTGCAGTCTGTCTCTCGCTGTGAGGAGGCTGTAGGTGGGGAGGTAGCAACGGCTACCAGCAGTGAGGTGCAGCCCAGCACCTGCTACAAGTGGCGAGTGGTTCACAGTAATGGGAGGCGCATCAGAGTAAGGAAAGTTAAGAGTGAAGATCTGAAGGTAGGAAATCGCTTCTCTGTTCTTCAGGATGAATGTACTTCAGTGGCCAGTGAAGGTAAGGGTACTACTGCCCCTGCTAATGGAGGTAAGCACATTCTTGTGGTAGGTGACTCTCAGGTAAGATATATTGACCGTGCTTTTTGTAATAGGAATAAGAAGATGAGAGATAGAGTGTGCTTCCCTGGAGCTGGTGTTGGGGACATAGTCAACAGGCTGGATAATATCATGTCAGGTAATTGGAACAAGCCCATTATCTGTCTCAGTGCTGGTGGAAATGATATTGGGAAGGGTAGGAGAGAAGAGCTGCTAGATAAGTACAGGTCAGTTATAGATTTCATTAAGTCTAAGGGAGGGATCCCAATCACATGTAGCATCTTGCCTAGAAGGGGAGTAGGAAATGAATGGTTGTCTAGGGCAATTGGTGTAAATTGCTGGCTAGACAGATACTGCAAGGAACTTACAATCCCATTCATTGACAACTGGAACAACTTTTATGGCAAACATGATATGTATGCAAGGGAAGGGGTACATCTCTCTGGGGCTGGGGTGGTAGCACTTGCAGACTCGATTGAGAAGGCCATTGGTGAAATGCCTATGATTTTAAACTGATAGAAGATAGAAGTATGGGTGTGTGTGGGAAACAAGCAGGTTGCAACGCTAGGGTTCGAAACAGTAAATGTATAAAAGGCATTCAGCATGAAGTTATAAATAAAAACAATAGATCAGGTCAGCAAACAAAAGGGGACAGCAGAGGGCAGCAAGGGACTAGCTCCCTTAAGGTTTACTATACTAATAGCAGGAGTGTAAGAAATAAGATAGATGAGCTAAGATTAATTGCAAGTGCAGGAAACATAGATATTATTGCTATAACAGAGACCTGGCTCAATCTGAAAGATAGAGAGATGCCCTCTGAATGTCACATACAAGGCTATAAATTATTCCACACTGACAGGGTCAACAGGAAAGGTGGTGGAGTAGCGATGTACGTCAGAGACAATTTAAATTGTTGTGTTAGACAAGATATAAAATTAGAAGCGTCAGCCACTGAATCTGTATGGTTACAGCTTCTCGAGGGCCGAGAAAAACTAATTTTGGATGTGATTTACAGGGCCCCAAATCTTGATAGGGAGTGCAGTAAACTTCTATGGTGGCCCGGTGGTCTGGTGGCTAAAGCTCCCGCTTCACACACGGAGGGCCCGGGTTCGATTCCCGGCGGGTGGAAATTCCGACACGTTTCCTTACACCTATTGTCCTGTTCACCTAGCAGCAAATAGGTACCTGGGTGTTAGTCGACTGGTGTGGGTCGCATCCTGGGGGACAAGATTAAGGACCCCAATGGAAATAAGTTAGACAGTCCTCGATGACGCACTGACTTTCTTGGGTTATCCTGGGTGGCTAACCCTCCGGGGTTAAAAATCCGAACGAAATCTTATTCTCTCTCTCTTCTTAAGAAATTCGTAAGGCATCTACAAACGAAAATGTTGTGCTAATGGGAGATTTCAACTATAGACAGATTGACTGGAGCAATTTGACAGGAAATTTAGAGTCAGGTGACTTTCTTGATACGATCCAGGATTGTTTTTTAAAACAGTTTGTGACAGAGCCAACTAGGGGAAATAACCTCCTTGACTTGGTTCTTGCCAGTAGGGAAACACTAATTAATAATCTTGAGGTTAATGATGAGCTTGGGGAAAGTGATCACAAATCACTCAGTTTTAATATATCATGGAATTCCCTTAATAATGGCAATCAAGTCTCTGTCCCTGACTTCCGCTTGGCTGATTTCATAGGACTGAAAAATTGCTTAGGTGGGCTGAACTGGAATGACCTGACTAAGGGTCAGGTAGGTGGTGATGGATGCCGATTTGACGCTTTCCAGGGCATAGTTCTAGCTGCTCAGTCAAATTATGTTCCAAATAGGGAAATCAGATCAAACAAAATGATCCTAAATGGATGAACAATAGATTAAAATATCTAATTGGTCAAAAGAGAGGCATATATAGGCAAATCAAAAGAGGAGAGGGGCAATTAAGAAATCGATATATTCAGTTAAAGAGAGAATAAAAAAAAGGAATTAGAAAAGCAAAAAGAGATTATGAGGTTAAAGTTGCAAGAGATTCGAATACTAACCCAAAAGGATTCTTTCAGGTATACAGAAGTAAGATCAGGGACAAGATAGGCCCACTCAAAAGTTCCTCGGGTTCAGCTCACTGACAGTGATAAGGAAATGTGTAGAAGTTTTAACACATACTTCCTCTCAGTTTTTACACAGGAGGATACCAGCGATATTCCAGAAATGATAAATTATGTGGAACAGGACGATAATAAACTGTGCACGATTAGGGTCACAAATGACATGGTCCTTAGGCAAATAGATAAATTAAAACCTAACAAATCCCCAGGCCCTGATGAACTGTATGCAAGGGTTCTAAAGGAATGTAAAGAGGAGCTTAGCAAACCTTTGGCTAATCTTTTCAACGTATCACTACAAACTGGCATGGTGCCAGATAAGTGGAAAATGGCAAATGCGATACCTGTTTTTAAAGCAGGTGACAGGTCCTTAGCTTCAAACTATAGACCAATAAGCCTAACCTCCATAGTGGGAAAAATTATGAAAATCAATAATTGCCGAGGCAGTTCGTAGCCACCTTGAAAAGCATAAATTAATCAACGAATCTCAGCATGGTTTTACAAAGGGACGTTCCTGCCTTACGAATTTGTTAACTTTTTTCACTAAGGTATTTGAGGAGGTAGATCATGGTAATGAATATGATATTGTGTACATGGACTTCAGTAAGGCTTTTGACAGAGTCCCACATCAGAGACTATTGAGGAAAATTAAGGCACA